ATTATATGTTGTGGGAGAAGGGTTCATGCACCACTAAAAGCTTACATGTTGCAAGTGCGGTGAAAAATTATTAGGAAGTTAAACATTTGAAAGTAGTCTTTTTTCTGATCTAACTCATGACTGCTTAAGGCAACTTCTCTAAAATTGGCCTGTTATAACAAAATAACCCTTTTCACTATAGAAAAATGAAAAAGGAAATCATAAGTTTTGGAGTATGAAAATGATAAAGGTTGTGTTACATTTCTCTTAGATGGATCATGTCAAAGAAACCCTTGTAAAAAGCCACAATTTTGTCGAATGTTCTGCTCCAAAGTTGTAATTTCTGTCTCTCATCTTTCATTGCCATCTCTGGTTTTCGGATTAACTTTGTTTTCCCTTTAACAGGTGCAAAACCAGTACAGTAGATAGGCTGTTCAAGATGAAGCCTCCTATATAAATTTTAGACAACATATAATGTAGGCTTTTGGCATTTGCTTTTGTATTTATAATTGTTTGTATGATCAGTTATAAAATTCGATGTGAGCAGAAATACAAAGAACTATCGAAAAGCATGAGTGTAAAATGTCAATCGGTATTAAATCTAATAATTTCAGATAAAGGGCTTAATTGAAGAGATGACAATAGTCGATGGACATTTTTATTACTTTAAGTCAATCTTACAATTAAAAAAAAAGGTAAATATTATATCTGAAATTAGCATTTAGCCCCTCATTATGTTTATACTTCATAATTGTTTTAAAGAGACGGAAGATACTTAAGTTATGTATCTATTGCTGAAAATTATTTTTCATTGCGAAATTATTCTAGATGGTATTATATTTGGAGGGTAAGGCGCAAATGTATATAATAGAAAATTTTCACTCTTTAATTATTTTATCAATATGATTTTTTTTTCTTAATATCTTTAAGAACAAAACATTCCTTTTGATTTTGTACATGACAATTGAGGCTTTGTGGGTCAACACAACTTTAACATCCTCTATCCTCCAAAACATGCATCAAATAGTCTTGGGAAACATTCGCTAGGCTTAGAACGAGAGAGACCAACTCAGTCAACTTTGGCATATAGTAAACCTATTTGTTGGTCAAACCTTTGATTCTTCATGCTGAAGTGATTGCCGCCGAAAATCTAGTTTATTGAAATAAAACAAGAATAAGAAAGTTTTCTTTTTTTTACATCATTAATCTGCAGAAAACAAAGCTGTAATGAGTTTCTAGAACTTAGACAAGGCCCACGAGCTGTTCACCATCATTGTTCTGAATTTAGAGGCAAATTTGTCAATGATCATCTAGAAATATTACAAGTTAGCAAAGCTGCAAACATTCAATCTGCCGGCGCTGTTTTGGCCACTGTGAAGGTCTCGTCTCCAATTTCTCTTCTTTTGCAGAATCTCACCAGCCTTCGAACTTGCAAACTCCCTGCTTCTTTTATTGTTAAGGTGATGATCACATTGGATACAATTTTAAAAAAAAAAAATTAGTGACCAAATTGAAGTTTGTTAAGGCAATTTTGCATTGTTTTAATTGATTTTAAAATAATTAAAAGCTTTATAGTCACTTGAATTTAGGATGATTTTGGAGCAATAAGTTAGTTATATTATTGACATACCTACCTTGTTATTCAATATATACAAGTTGTAGATGTCATTTTTACAACAAAAATCAGATACCAGCAGCTGTGGAGATATTTTATGGTTGAAGGGAATCTTTTAATCTGGTGGAAGCACATTTTCATATTCCTTATACTCCCAACAGTTTTAGGATTCAAGCCCTACCAATTTATGGTCTATTGTTTTTTTGGTAGTATTTTTAAACTTAGTGTTTGGTAGGTAATAAGACTAGTATCAACTTCTAATTTTAGTCATTACAATACTATAATCAATAACGGCTTCAACATTTTGTATGAGAATTGATTAAAAAGTAATTATATTATATATTTCAATTTTTATACATATAATAATTAAAAATTAACAATTAAAAAAAATAATCGTTACCACCTTAGGTCTATCGGTGATTATTATTGCATTTAATTAACAAAAGCTTATGCATTATGCATACCATATTGACCCATTGCAAGCGCTTATGGAATGGCATAACAACACAAATGACATTACTTGAAACTTTATACAACTTTGTAAATGCTCAAATCCATTGACTAAAAGATCAGCTCAATGTCATGATCATCCCTACATTTATTGGGTCCATTTTAACATTTCTTGGTTGTTAGTATTCGCTTCCAACCCTAGTATGATTAACACAGGGATTACTCATGATAAATGGTATAATATTTAAAAAAAACTTTTAAATTATTTAAAAAATTTTAAATAAATTTTTATTTTTTATTAAATTCAATTAAACTGTTATATTTTATTTTGAGTCAAATAGATTCTCAAAATTAATAGTTTTTAATGAAAATAATACTTGTTATTTAATGTCACATAATACTAATAATATAACATATTAATATATTATAATAAATAATAATATATTATATTTATTTAACATGATGATATGATCATCAAATATGTTTACATGACTTGATATAAAAATGGAATTCAGACTCGAAGAAAACCAAGGCTTTGATCAATGGATCCCTGCCCAATTTTGGAGACACTATCCATTTACGGTCCAAAATGTGAAAACCTTGTAATTTAAGTATAACCAAATAATTGTGGGCCAAAGTCAAGTATGCCCCAATTCATTTTTTATGGGCAGGCCTTTCAGATTGCCTGGTACTACAAAGAAAACTTTTAGATACAGTGAAAAAAAATTAATTGACAAAATCATATAATCGCTCAATCTAGAACTAGAAAATATTAAGTTTCCAACTAAATAAAATTTGGACAAAGTTCCTCATATTTTGTACTTGTTGGCTTTAGTTTAGATATGTAGAGATTTTTTTATTTTTAATTTTAGAGCTAAGTTATTCAAATTACATAAATAATGAACTTCAATGTGCAAATGCTAAATAGTATAGCTCTTAAACTTTAGTTATAGATTTTTGGTGATCCAAAGAATAAACTAATATTGAAGTGGTGATAAAAGAAATTTCATTTGATTTTAGGTTATATATTTGTTTTAAAAAATTTTACATAATACTTGAAAAAAATCTTTGAATTATTTAAGAAAATTTAAATAATTCTTTATTCTGTTAGTGAGTTCAATGAAGTTCCTATACTTTTATTTTGAGCAAAATAAATCTTTATGATTAATGAATTGACTAACTCTTGCTAGTTAAAATACCACTTGTTATTTTATGACATGAACGTGACATGTTAATATGATATGATGATATAATTACGAGATATTTTTTTCTATCTAAATCGACGTTATATGAGTATAAATAATAAATAATATTTTAATTAATAATAATTAATTAATCATTGAATGGTAGGGGTGGTTTTGATGCTGCACATAAGTTTTTGTTCCTCTTTTAACTTTTTTGATGATTTGGAGGTAGGATTTCCTCCTTGATGGCTATACTTATATTCTTTATGATGAATGAATAATCGATTTTTTTTAAATAAGATTTATTTGACTTAAAATAAAAATAATAAAATTTAATTAAATGTAATAAAAATAAAAATTTATTTAAATAATTTTTATTTTTTAAAAATTATTATATAAAAATTTCAACAATTATTTTATGAGAGATGGAGGAATGCATTGTTTATAGGGCATTTAAAAACCCAAGACAATGTTTGGTTGGATTTCCCGAAGTACTTTTGTGACTATTGAAGAAAGCAAAGACAAGAAAAGAAACGTCACAAGAGTCAAAAATAGAATAACTTGGACCAAGATTCTATGAACAACCCCCAACTTTTTAGCTTGGGATTTGTTTTAGCTGTTGGCCAGCTATTCATTCCTTGAAAGTCATTGATAGTTCCTTCTATAATTTAATATTTCCTCAAAAATGTAGCTCTTGCTTGTTTGCCAACTACGATGATAACAATGCCCTTAATGCCTAAATAAGTTGGTACCGTTCACTCTTTTCATTTAATTGTTAAATAATAGCTATGGATAAGGGTATGAAATAACTGGAAAAATCCAAAGAAATTGATGATAGGGTTGCTTTCATTGATTTTAAGGAAATATATATAAAAGTAATTGCATAACTAATGTGCCATAAATATCAGGCACATACTTAGGGCCAATAACAGAATGATGTTGACCTTTTTTTCTTTGTATTTACATTTTTTTTACAGTTAAAAGATTATGATTTAATGTTTAAGATTTATGGTTTAGAGTTTAGGGAGAAGGCTCTAAGATCAAGCAACCATATCAAGATGATGGTAGGATAGAATCTTGACATGTATTAATTATAGTTACAAAATTTTAATTGAAACTAAATTTACTCAATTAAAAATATTTGAAATAATTTTTATCTATTTGTTATGATTTAAGATTTTTTATAACATAATATATAAAAAAACCCATAAACTATTAAGGAAATTCAAATTTTGAACCAAATAAATTCTTGTACATTTATTTTGAGTTAAATAACTTCATATGTTTAATAATTGATTTAGATAAAGTGTTATTTATCATTTTATATAGTGTGACACTAAAATGATATACTAACATATCATAATTGACGATGACATAGTATTTAACATATCACAATTGATGATGATACGACATGCTAATTTGGTACAATAACATGACTTTGTGACATTTTTCACCATTCAAATCAATGTTATGTTAGTACTATATAGATATAAAATGACAATGGGTATTTTGACTAATAATAATTAATTAATTATTAATCATAAAACGCTTATTAGATACAAAATAAAAAGACTGAAACTTGATTAAACCTAATAAAAGAAAAAAAAACTTATTTAAATTTTCTTGAATAGTTTAAAAGAGATTTTTTTTTAGTATTATGTCATTTTTTATTTATGGTCAAATCATGTCAAGATTTGACAATAATTTTAATGGAATGAAATACTATGAGATCATAATCTTGAATAACATTACCTTGTTAAAATCGAAATAAAATATAAAAAGAAACAAAAAATTTGAATATATTTTATTTGATTCTAATTTGTTGCAATATAGAACGGCCACAATATTAAATTTAGGTTAGTACAATAATTAGGTGAACATATACTACAATAGAAGGAAAGCCCCTTTAATCTCCCTACTTGCCTAATTTTTCTGAAGCCATGAAATTACTAGGTAGACCACTCTGATCATCAGTTATGATCTTATCCAATAATAAAATGCCAACAATAATCAAATATGAAAAATTCGAAACCCACTATTATTACTAGTCCTGCACGACGGTTGCTGAAGTACGTTTTGAGCTCACCCATTAACGTATTCTCTTAGCCACATTTGGAAATGTCTTGTCACCTTGCTTGCACAATGAACAAAAGACAACCGAAAAGGTCAGCCTCTTAAACCTACCATCTATTTGGTCAAACCTGAAATTTTCCCCATAAATAACAGCTTCATGGTCCTAAAGCTTAAACAACCAAGCTAATTACAATATCATCATTAATATCAACAATGTCTTCTTCAAGATTTGCCTTCCTTCTTTATCTGTTAACCTTTGCTTTCCTTCTCCAAGCAGCTTTTGGAGTTGATCCTCTCTTCAATTTCTGTTTAGACACTGGGAATTTCTCTGCCAATGACCCTTATGAAGACAACTTAAACAATCTCACTGGTTACCTCTCCATTCAAGCGCCTCCCTCAGGTTTTGGCCTTGGTTCCATAGGCCAGGATCCAAACCAAGCGTATGGCCTTGCGCTTTGCAGAGGTGATGTGTCAACCCCAGATTGCGAAACCTGTATTGTTGAAGCAGGCAGTGAAATCCGCAAACGCTGCCCTTCCAACAAAGGTGCAATTATCTGGTACGATAACTGTCTTCTGAAGTATTCAAACACGGAATTCTTTGGCCAGATTGATAATCAAAACGGGTTCTACATGTCGAACTTGCAAAATGTGAGTGATCCTCAGTCATTTAATCAGAAGACTGAGGAACTGCTTAGTCAACTGGCCAACGAAGCTTATGCAACTCCCAAACTGTATGCCACTGGAGAGACGGAGCTCGACGGATCACAGGAACTTTATGGATTGACTCAGTGCACAAGGGACCTTTCCAGCAGTGATTGTAAGAAGTGCCTTGACGGTATAATTGGCGAGCTTCCCAGTTGCTGTGATGGGAAAGAAGGAGGTAGGGTTATTGTTGGCAGCTGTAACTTCCGATATGAAATATACCCTTTTGTTAATGCTTAAACCTTTGAAAGAAACCTCCAGAGACTAGAGCTACAGCAGAACTCATGTGCTATGAGTAAATAATAAAGTTTGCAGGAATATGAATCTTATATTAGTATGGGAATAAGATTATGAGAATATTGTGAGAAATGACCTTATTATTAAGGTCATTTCAAAAATGACTCTCATTATAATTTTAACTTTTTTTAAATAATTTTTGACAAGACTTCACAAGAATACTTTTTAAACCATTTAATCCAAATTAAGTGGTCCCGGTTTCTTTTTTTTCTTCCACTATTCATATAAAAATTTTAAAATTAAATCTCGATTTAGCTATCCTTCCGTTCAGCTTTCCAATGCCATTGGAGTAAATATCTTGCCATTTAGCTCTCTAATGCCATTGAGGTCTATATTGCCATCTAACTTTCTCACGATCCCAAATTGTAGAGATAACATCAAGGTATTTATGGGTTCTTGAGTTCATTTTTTATTTTTTTATATTCATAGAACGTAAAAGTTGATGGGTAAATTATATCAGTTTGGAAAATTAAATCTGGTTGGGAGTAGCGAAGTCAATCAGTTTACAGGCAATGCGTGAATATTTGTTAGGCATTGCGTCACCTATTTATTTGAATATTAGGGTGTGTGACTGGATATTAGGAATTGTAACATGTTTATTTGGTATTATGTGACTGAATATTACGTGACTGAATATTTGTTGAGCATTGTGTGACTTGTTTGTAGGCATTACGTGACTTTATCTACCTAATGTTGATGGTAATTATCTATTAATTTAACCCCTTTAATAATAAATTCTGTAAAATTAAAAGAGAATTAGGAATGTTTAATAACCAATTCAACCCCTTAATTGCACTTATATCGACATTAAAAAAAAATTACACTTGTATCGATGCAAAAACTAAGAGTCAGCATTCATGCCTATAAATAAAGGGAAGCATTAACCATTTTAATCAAAATAATATAAAGCAAAATCTGAAAATTTAAATGGCATCCAAACATTCAAGAGTTGACAGCAGGAAAGAGGTGGCTACCGAAGAGGCTACCCTCGAAATGCGTGCCCTGATAGACTAACTCTAGAAGATGGAGATGGAGATGTGCGTCCTGATGGATAACTTGCTGGTCAAGACAGAAGTCCTGGAGACAAAAATCTTGGGCAATAACAATATTCTGGCCCAGATTTATGAATTAGTAGATAAAATTAGGAAGAAATGAACTACGATTCATTTTTTTTATATCATCTCTTTTTATTTCAGTCATGAATAAAATAAAAATTTTCATTGATCTCATATTTTCTTTGTTTATTTTATATTATCTTGAATAACTTGGTTACTTACCTTAATTTTTTTATCTATTTATATAAGAGAAGCAAACATGAGTAGATGTTAAGCAATGCGTAGCCTATTATTAGGTATTGTGAGACTGGGTTCTAGGCATTATGTGAATGTGCGTCAAACAAAATACTTAGTACTTTGCAACAAATGCAACTGTCACTTGGAAATGCAGTAGGTCCATTGTCATTCGCAAATGACACTATGATGGTTGTGAGTAATGACGATGCTTCTGATCAGATTGAAGATGATGTTGAAGAAAACAACATGACGAATTGGAACAATGAGTTGCATGATGACTGTGAAGATGATTACATTGGCGGATATGATGACTGTTCAGAGGACGACAAGGGTGAGCATACCGATATTTGGGATTGCAATTATGTAGATGGCAGTACAAAACATGCCACAACTATTGTGTTAGAAGAGGTTCAATTCGACGACCATACCACAATTGTTGAATTAGAAAATGTTTAGGGTGCTGACCTTATTTATGACGACGCCATTGCACTTGAGAACGGCATTCATTTACCTGATGACAGTAACCAAGAGAGGGTAAATATAGGGGTATCTCATTAATGGATTAGTCCCGAGGTAGATATGATATCCTTTCAAACAGTTGCAAGTGAGGAATGCAGATCAATGGACAACCACTTATATCGTGAAAAAGTGTTTCCATCAAAGGCCAAACTGAAACGAGCTTTGAGCATGTTGGCACTAAAAGAGCATTTTAAGGTTAGAGTTAAAAAGTTATATCATGCTCGTTTTAAGGTTCGTTGTAAGGAGAAGACATGCAAGTTTGCTTTGCGTGCAACGAAGTTGCCTGAGAGAGAATGTTGACAACTTCAGACAGTGCAGAAGGTACACACGTGTACTATTGATAGTTTGCAATGTGGGTACTAAACTACGAGCACAAGGTTAATTAGTGAGCTTATCTCTACCAAGCTGCAAGGAAATTATGTAACCCCATTGAGACCTAAAGAAATAAGGGAAGAGATGAATCGCAAGTGTCTCTTTCATTCGTTGTCTCAATAATAAATGTAATATGATATCTATTCAAATGAACATTTTTAAAATTTAATAAACTTTTTTTAGACTTAATAGAAAATAATACATCCTTTATTACTTAATTCCTCAAGGTAGTAAAATATTAACTCTTCTAGAACCTTCAATTAATCTTGTACTATCAGATATTGAATTGACATTAGTTTTTTTTTTGTTTTCAAATAGGAAAAATATTTCTTATCTTTAAATATAGTATGTTACATAGTAATGTCTGCTAGACAATATTTACATCATAGATCTTGGATTCAACAATATGAATATTCATATTTTTTTAATAAAGTAAGATATATAAAATAAGAAACTTGCAAGTTAACATAAAAGAATATTACATATGGTATTAAAATACATAGTAAAAACATATCATTTAAATATAATAAAAATGCATTGAAGTATCTTTATAATTAATATAGTTATACTAAAATATACCAATTACTATTAAATTCATTTTTAGATATTTCTATTACCAATCGAATGATCAATTTCTTTTTCAGAATAAGAAAATCAATAATGGATATTTCTATTACTAATCATATAATTAATTCCTTTTTCAAGGTGGATAAATATCTTGATGTGCTATATGAACTTGGCCACAATAAAATCATAACAAAATGTTGTGATTTTCGGTGATGCTTGATAAAATTTAAGATGTACAATAAGTACGTAACTAATGGTCTTTCATGCCATATCAATGACAATATATTTTTTACATTCTTTTTATTTTTTTAATTTTTATATTTTCATTATTCATCCATTTATGGTGCATTGAAAGTATTCATCTACTTGTGGTAGGTTACAGGTATACGTCCACTTTTAGTGGGTGATTGGGTTATCCACTTCGGGTAATTATCCATTTTTTAATGGGTTAAGGCATTCATCCACTTTTGATGGTAAAATTATCTATCCATTTCTAGTGGTAAAATTATTATTAGATTCTAATAATAAAATTATCCATCCACTTCTAGTGGTAAAAGTATAATTAAAATAGTGATAGTGTAAATTATTATGGCCATCATAATTATTAAATGATGTTGTATTCACTTCAAGGAATGGATGGATTTATAATTATGCCAATAATTATTATATAATGTTGCATTCACTTCAAAGAATAGACGAATTTATAATTTTTTTATTAGTAACTCATTTGTCGTATTCACTTTAAGGAATGAATATTCATAATTTTTCATTAATAGCTATAAAATGGCAAACTCACTTTTCAATCAAAAGATAAAATATAATATATACTACATGATAATAAAATTCATATTAAGTTTGATTTTTAAGGAATAAAAATACCAAAGAGATATCAAGTCACTTGCCTAAATTTTTAAAATCAGAAATCAAAACCTAATCATTGAAATCTTTTTGAAGTTTGAAGATGATGAAAACATAATAATCAGCATAATTGTAAAACTTGATAGATTAGAGAATCGTGCTAATAACGTATTATGAAATAAATTTGAAAAGAACAATTATAAGAGAAACATAAGAACAAGTATTTAGAGAAAAGAAAGTATTTAGAGGGAGTAAGAAGATCTTATTCAAGTGTGTATTTACAAATAAAGTGAAAGGGCTTATTTATAGGCTAATAACCCTTTTTCTAGATTCAATTACAATATAAAGATAATACTTGGAGATTAGCTGGATTAAATCCTAATCCAATTTAATTTACATTAAATCTATATATAAATAAATATTTACAAAAATATCATAACATGAATAAATATGAGCAATCTTTGTCACATTTGACTGTTCAAGGATTTCTAAATGTTGACTTTGCTATTCTTCTGCTTCCTTTTCTATAGCATAAATAATAGCATAAATAACTTCTTCATCATCAAAATAATTAAATGCATAAATACTAATCTATGCAAATAATTTTCCAAAGTTTAAATTTGTACTTTTGGATGATGTTTTTTTTATGAAGTCATAATATCTAAAAAGTTCTTAAATTTTTTAGAAAATTCAAATAAGTTTTTTATTTAAATTTTTAAATTTTTATTTTTGAGTCAAATAAATGCTTGATAAATTATCCACTCAAAACCTCTATAAGAACTCTCTGAAATTGAGAATTAGATGGATTCTTTGCTAAGGGTGTTTATCTACTAATGCAGTTTCTTACAAATACGACAAATGCAAGTATATCTACCTCAGACAGATTGTGTTCTTTTAGCCGACAGTTATGTTGCAATAGAGGTGTCAGACAGATCTAGAGATTCAAAATCTTATGTTGCACAGCCTTTTGAGCATGAATATGCATGATGCAGCTACTGCAATTTTTCTCTTATAAATTTACTTTTAAAATTGTAACTG